TGCTTTAAACAGAGTACCACCAAAGCTCCTAACCAGCACGTACTTGATTAGATTTTGCAAATCAGGGAGCCATGGTAGAAATCAGATAAAAATCTCCCCACAAAGGATTCTGGAAGGCCTGGTGGTGTCATGGTTACTCAGTCTGTTACTGCAAGGTTAACAGTTTGAAACCACCATCTGCTTCCATAAACAATTAGTCTTGGAAACTCACATGGGCAGTTCTACCCTGTCCTATGGCGTCACTATGAGTCAGCATCCACCCGATGGCTGTGGGATAAAGGATCCTAGGTAAAACAAAGCCAGAAGCTCTAAACCCAAAGTTCCCTGGATGCATTTAGTATTGATCAGCATCTTGCCTTGCAGGTCTCATTTTATACTTTTAGCTTAGTCACTTTCAGCTTGTCTTTTTCCACATTCTATTCTTTTCACATGACCATTACCTCATCTCTATAATCAACAATGTTAATAATTATACAGATTCTTCTAACTTCCAAAGCTTGAAATACCTGGGCAATTAGGCAAACATGGGGTAGTGGGTGGTTTGTGAAGTTCCTAGAAAGTGGTCTATTGCTGTTTTGTCAAGAGCCGACTCTTTCTCTCAAATGCCCACTAGACAAAGGCTTGGAACACCTTCACTCCTGTCATCTTCTCTTCTTAGAAATCACTACCCAGTCCTTTGCCTAGTCTGGGCAAATCTTAGTAGGAAATGTAAAGATGGCTAAGATGGTGTCCCTGGTCTCAGACAAGGACTAACTAAAGAATAAATATATTATCGGTGCCATGTCAATCGGAAAAGCAAGGAGGTGCAGAAATTTGAGGGAGAGTGACCTTCTGAGAATGATAAAGCGAAGTTCCACGTGGGAGATAGTGTTGCAATTAGGCCTTGAGGAAGTGGCCCAGCGTGTTTCATACTGGCTTTGGGTTATGTGAGTATTGTGGCAGTGCAGACATTGCACTAGAGATCTGTCAACCCTACTCTTTGACAAGACACAACAGTGAGTACTCATGACATCAAATCCTCCAATATAAAATGACACACTACTCAGTAGCATTAAAATAAAGAAATCTCTCTTTTTCATCCTCAGCAATTTTCTGGCTACGATGATAGCTATATTACCATTTGTTCTATGCCCAGGCAATCTGAAAAATCATTAACTATTTCCAACAGACATCTGTATTTCTCCATCTTTATTGAGAACATCACAGTTCAGTACTTTCAAATCCCCAGCCTTTTTACCATCTCTACACTGAAAGTCGCATTTGGTTAACTAGTTCTGAACAACCACCACACAAAAAATCGTATGTTTCATATGCTGAAGGTCTCACATTTTCCTTCCAAGGATCTCCGTTAGCTCTGAAGTAATACATTAATTCTCACAGTCTGGTAGGTGAAAATTATTATTCTGCTTCCAGATGAGGAAGTAACTGCCAGAGAGGACTGTGACTCATCTTGCACTTTGGATCTTTTAAATGAACCATTCATAGTTCAACTTTGACTTAAAATCCTACAAAAATCATCCTTTGCTTTAGCGTATGCTTTTTAAATTTTTGGTCAAAAAAGCAGCATGTCAGCATTCAGTGTGGAGAGTGAGCAATGTAGGAGCAACTGGGTTTAGAATAAAGAATCTGTGACTGTTGGCATGGAGAAGAGGAGAAACAGACAGGCATAGAGATTGCTCTTCAACGTATGAAGGGTGGTGCATGCACAGGCCAGAGAAGACTGAATGCTGTAGCCCAGGAGATAAAACTGGAAAAATGGATGGCTATGCAGGCAGACTTTAAGGGAATTTGTTATTATCTTTATATTGTCCTCCTGGGAGGCTTTTCTTCCGTCAACATCCAAGCTACAGGGACCCCGCCTCTGTAAAGCTCTCTTTGCTGCTGCTGCTCAAAACAGAAGTACTTTACCAAGAACCTTTAGCTGTCTCTTTGTCTGTACAATGGCACCTTTATCATAGCTCCTCTCTTTGACCTGCCAGCAAGGATAGGAGCTTTAGATGGACAGACATCATCCTTGTTTCCTAATGTTCCAAATGTTTAAATAATAAATGTATTGAAAAGGCAATAGAATGCTTCTGAAAGTAGTGAGGTTTCCATTTCAACCATGAAACCCTTGAGTATTTTGGTATTTCTAAATTTCCTAATATATTAAGGTCTTTCTTATTTACGGTGATGCTATTAATCCAAAAACTAAATATGTACATATAAAACACTATATGCCAGCCCTCAAAATGACTATAATTAGTTGTATATAAATTAGTATATGATTTCCTTATTTTAATAAAGATTGGCCCAAGGAATTATTAAATGTCCTTTCATGCCAATGTTTTAAATTATAAGCACCTACTATGTGACAGGCCCTGGGGAAAAAGGATAAGAAAGACAAATTAAAATCAAACTCATTGCCATCAAGTCAATTTCAACTCATCAGTGACCTTATAGGACAGCACAGACCTGCCCCTGTGGGTTCTTGAGGTTGCAGGAGCAGAAAGCCTGATCGTAAGATCAAGGGCAACTGGTGGGTTCTAAATGCCGGCCTTGCGATGAGCAGCCCCACATGGCAGTCACAGGGTTCCTGGTTTGGACAAGAGCCCTTCAGCACTTTACATTCTCCCTTACTATTGGGACTGAGAGGTTATGGTCTATCTACCTGTGAAACTTCAGTCTGATTTGAAGTGAATGTGCTCCTCAGATTATCTAAAGTTTTGCCAAGGTCACTACACTTTCCCAATAAGCCTATCTGGATGCTCTCTTTGGAAATTAAAGTTATAGGAGAAGATCTTTAACCCCTTGGTGCCAACCAAGTCTGAACTGTAATTGATCCCGCTGGGAAGTGCCCATAGCAGACAGGGCAACTGGCTGGTGGTTCACAGGGTCCTTGGAAACCAATGTGGATTTGAATCTTCCCTTTTCTAAAGTATGTGTGAGTGAGTGCAACACCTGCCCACATCTCCCAGGCCCATTAGCGCGTGCGTGTGTGCGTGTAAACCTTGCCTGGCTGACTCACCTGTGTGTGTGTGTGTGTGTGTGTGTGTGTAAACCTTGCCTGGCTGACTCGTGTGTGTGTGTGTGTGTGTGTGTGTGTGTGTGTAATGCAGCATAGGGCCCACATCTAGAATCTGCCCCTATCCTCCCCCCATGAGAGTTTCTGATCTAATGGGATTTAGACAGAAACCGAAATAAAATCTGGGATTTAAGGTCATCTGTACGGTCATTTCTCTGGAAACACAGCACTTACAAGGGAATTTCGGCGAATTGTCTGAGAACTTAGAGTCAAGCAGGACGGGGGAGCAGGGGATGATTGCTAGTGCGGGCCTCTAACACTAACACTGGTCCCTAGCCCAGAGCGGTGCCGCGGGCCCAGAGCAGGTTCTAGAGACTGACTTGGTCTGGCCTTGCCTCGGAGCGCTTTGCCTCTCCGCGTCCGCCGCTTTTAGAACCCAGCTTCTGCCTTGGAAAGGGTCTCAGCGCCAACACCCAGGTTTCCCAGCGCCGGGCCGACCCCCACGCGAGTTCCTGGGTCGGCTTCTCTACACTTGAATGAGAAGCGAACGCCGCAGCCACGGGACAGAGGTCTGCAGACCCCGTGGCCGCCTCTGCATCTGAATCCGCAGCGTCCCCACGAGTAGGGCGGGAACAAGGCTCGGGGCACCCCACCCCAAGGCCGCGCGCACCCAGATCTCAACTTACAGCCCAGTTAGAGGTCTCGAGGCCAACCTCAGCCCCGCCCCGCCCGCGACCCCCGCAGTCCTTGGCTAGCGCCACCCACCTCCGCGCCCAGCTTCCCGGGCGCGGGAGATGCCGCGCCTCCGGAATGTGGATGCTCAGCTGCCTGCGACTTCGGCTTCCAAAGGACAGGACGCCCTCCCGGGAGGGAGGGCTGCCTCCGGGAGCGCTGGCAGGAAATGCCCGAGCAGGGGCGCTGCCCGGGGCTGGCAAACCACTGCCTGAGCCTGGTGAACGCCTCGGCTCCCCGCCCGCCCCCTCCGACCCACGATTTTTATCCCATGATACGTTTTTGCGGGGGGAATCTGTAGCTGGGGCGGGGAGGACGGCAGGACTGGCGGGGCAGCAGTGGCCACACTCGCCCAGCCCCCTAACACTCACGCAGGGGGTCCCCCGCACGCCTGGCCGGCCGCACCCCGACCCCGCACGTGGGCACCCGGGGTCGGAAACACTGCTGGCTGTAGGGCAAGGTGGCACGCTGAGCTGTGGCTTTCGCCCCGCGCCAACGTACTAGGTCTCCCGAGAACCCGGGCCAGCAAGATCTGGCTGCGGAGACTGGCGGGCGGCTGGAGTGGATCGGGGCACCCAGGGATCCCTGGAAAGAGGGTCGTCGCTCCCCGCCGCGCGCCGCTGCAGGTCGCTCCCGAGCGCCGAGAGCCGGCGAGCCGGACTGGCTCCTGGGCGCGCGGACCTTGCCGGAGCGCCCGAACTCCCGGCCGGGCGCGGGGGCTGGAGGGCAGCAACCGCCCCGCACGCTAGCGACTGCACGGCAGCCCCCAGGGGCGGGAGCGCGGGGTGGGAGGCGGAGTCGTCTGAGCGGAGAGGGATGACGTCCTCCGTTTCTGGGGCTCCGAGAGACCAGCCTGCTGCTCGGCCGGTCCAGCTTGACCCGCTGGGGGGCGGGGGGCGGGGGCTGGAGAAGAGGCGCCCCGCGCCGGTCCCGGTCCGGCTGCGGCTCCCGAGCGGCGCGCCCCGAGGCGGTCCTGCCCAGCGAGAGCAGCGCTACAAGCCCGTGTCCACCAGCCGAGCCCCTCGCGGCCGGTGCGTCGCCTCGGCGTGCCCACGCGGAATTCCTGTCCTTTCCAGCGCGTCCGCGGGGGAGCCCGGCAAACAACCCCCGGCAGGCCGGCCTCGCCCCTTCTCCGCACTTCTCCCCAGCGACCTCGAGCCAAGGACAGGCGCCCGCGCCCGGCACCTGCCCACGGGGAGGGCTGCGCTCCGAGCCCACGCGGGCTGCCAGGAAGCTTGGGGCACTGGAAAGGAGAGGCGCTTACCTCCGTCACCGGGAACCTTCCTCTTCTGCAGCTCCCGGAGCCTGTTTGCAACTCCCAGGCTCAACCTTCTGAAGTAGCGAAAGGACGGAGAGAGGTAGAGCTGTCCACGGGGCCCCCGGCAGCCGCGCTCTCCTTGGGCTTCTCCTGAGTCCAATCTCGGCCTTCTCGGTGGGAATGGGTTCCCAGAGGCTGGAAGGGGCCGCCTGACCCGGGGCTCTTCCCGCAGCTGTAGCGAGTCACCTCCAACTTCCCACCTGCAGCGCGCGAGGGGCGCCAGTGACAGCCCGCGCTGCGCTCCGGCGCCGCCCCGCCCCGCCCCGGCCTCCCTTCTTGACCGCTGGTTGGCTGCGGCCAGTGCCGGGCGGAACTTGAGGCCCGCCCCTCCCAGATCTCTCTTACTCCCACCCGCCCTAGCCGCAAGCTGGGAAAGTGGTTGGCTGCAGAGCCTCCCTAGACCTTATAGCCAGAGGGGTTTTTGAGCCCCTCTGCCCTTGCCCTTCGTGAACTGCTAGAGTCCCAGCGCACACACGTTTTTCGGTGGCCTAGGGACCGGAGGAAGGAGGGAGGGCATGGGAAATAGAGTCGCTGTGAGTCAGAATGGACTCAATAGCAGTTGATTTGATTTGGATTTTTGACCTACCTAGTAAGGAGTCTTGATGGCTACTTGGGTCAGCAGTTCGAAACCACTAGCTTCTCAATAGGAGACAGATGAAAGTCTTTATTCCCGTGAAGACTTACAGCCTTGGAAACTCACAGGGGGGAGTTCTATGTCCTCTAAGGTCGCTATGAATTGAAATCCACTCAATGACAGTGAGTTTGGTGTAGGAAGGGGGCCCGGTAAATTGAATTCTTATACTGGCTCTAAGTTCCTGTAACCTCTGCGAAGAATGAGCTCCCCAGCACCAGTGCCCAGTGGTGTGGTCGGAGCACGGTTTGGAGTTAAGCTCCACCCGCTTCATGCGAAGGGAATTTCTCATGTCTCCTGGTGCTTTTCACCAGCCTGCACCAACTGCTGGCAGCAACTTGGTTTTCAGCACCTACAAAGCCATGGCCACTGTGGCCTTCCAGGTCCTGGCCGTAAAGACACCCCTCAAGCACAGAGGAACCGCAGGTTTGCACACCCTTTGTATTTTCAAGTTTCAACAGGAACATCATCGTTCATTTCCTTTCCACACGTACCCCAAACCAGAGCAGGGGTTCCTGCGCCATCTGCCCAAGGGATTCAGGTACACTTTTCACTCACTCTGACTAGTGGGACTTACTCAGGGCAGACTTTCCAGGAAACTAACTTGATAAAGCTTCCCAAAGTAGCACAATCTGGAAAGCACTCCTCTCAACACAACCAGCTGACACCTGGGCGTATCTGCCTGAAGGAGGTGTATTGCCAAGTACCTGGGAGTCTGATAGCACTTAAAGTGCCAGAGAGCGTGTTGTGTGGCCACGAGGTTCTGAGATGGCAGGTACATGCTCTAGACTGCACTCCCACCCATTTCTACCCATGTTTGTAGTGTCCTCAGGAGAGAGAGGCTGAGGCAAGAGGGAGGAAGTCAGAAGTCTCTCTCTCTTTTTTTTTTTCACTGTGCAACCCGCTTCAGTGCCTGAAGCCCATGGGGTAAAGCCAGACAATGGTTCGGGGTGACAGTTTGCTTTGGCATGGGGCACTGTGAGAGGCCCATGGGATCAGAAGTCTCTTTACAAAGGCACATTGGGGACAGTTGGCACCAACCGAGAAGCCACTCCCTGTGAACTGTTGCTTGGAATATGTCTTTCTAGCACCAGACTCCTGTGTTTCAACCCAATGTTTTGGTCATAAGATTCTAACATGTTGGATCCACTCCGTCAAGTGCTTCCTCTGACCTCCATCAGAGGAGGCAAGCTATTCCCCTTCTTTCTTGAAACTCAAGAAGACTTGGGCAGCACAGGACAGTGGCCAAGCTCCCGTGAGGAGATTTGAATGCTCCAGGTTCAATGCTTGTGTAAGGAATTGAACTTCCACTCTGGATAGGCCAAACAGAGTAGAATGACAGTGCAGCTTTCTTGGGCTGGAATGCCGGTTGACTCGTTAACGGAAAGAGTTCTTGATAAAAGTGAGTACGAGAGAGACGGGGACAGCAGTGACCTGTCAATTCAGATATACGTCTGATGAGTTCACAATCAAGAAGCCCTGGTGCAGTGATTAAGCACTTGGCTGCTAACCTCAAAGTCCACAGTTCGAACACACCAGCTCTGCTCAGAAGCAAGATGTGGCAGCCGTGGAAACTCTATGGGACCATTCTGCTCTATCTTAGAGCATCTCCTTGAGTCAGATGCAACATGACAGCAATAGTGTGGAGGTTTTGGGTTGGTGTTGACGGCTAGGTGAGGTACAGCATCATGGCAAGGCGCAGTCCCCTGTAAACACCGTTCCTGACATTGACATGATGGATCTTCCTCTGGAAAATATATTTTCTTAAGATCCAAGGGCGAATCTCAAGTTTCTCATGAAGGAGAAAGCAGGATGTGGGAGGGAGAAGAGGAATGCAAAGAGAATCGGACAAGAAAATCGGAGAGTCTGTTGATAAGACAGAAACCAGTTGACGTTTGAAGGATTGCATGGCTCGGATCCTGGAGGAGACGAAAGATTTAGAGCTGCAATAAGTGCTGGACCAGAGCATACCATAGATCGATGATGATAGCCTTCAGGGAGAGTGAGTTTTATGGAACCTGGACTCATCAAGAATAGGAGCTCTTCCATGGTAGCTAACAGCAATGGAGGCAGAGCTAAGACTTCTAAAATGCCTTCAAGAGTTAAGACACAGAGCTGTATCTTGGCTTTGGATTTGTTACTTACCAGCCTCCGAAACCATACCAGTCATTTCCTTGACAGTTGGTGAGTTCTGTGAGACACTGCAGCAACTTGCAGAATCCTAGGACATGAGGGAGAAGTCTGTGGGGAGGAGTGGTGGTTGATATCAGGGGTAATGGAATGGTAAGGCCTTTTGGAAAGACATTTGGGATGACAGCAGCCTCCTCCTCATTAGGACTCATCTTGTAGTAACCCTTCTAACCAAAATTATTTTTGCAGATGCTCATGCAATGAATAACAACTATTATCCTAAACTCACTCCCATTGAGTCTATTTCAACTCACAGGGACTCTCTAGAACAGAGCAGAACTGCCGCCGTGGGTTTCTGAGACCGAAACTGTTTACTAGAGTGAAAGCCTCATCTTTCTCCCACGGAGCTGCTGGAGGTTTCAAGTTGCTGACCTTGTGGTTACCAACCCAACTCGATGGCTTAGTAGAGTATGAGTTGGGTTGCTAACCGCAAGGTCAGTGGTTTGAGTCCACCGGCTGCTCTGTTCTGCAGGGCCACCATGAGCAGGCATCAGCTCGATGGCAGTGAGTTTATTATCCCAAACACAGTTTTTAAAGGGCTCAAAGTCACCTAAGACTTCTGATTTTATTTGCAAATTGCCCTCTTTTGGGGGGGATGAGGGGTGTTGAGTAGATTGCCAGGTCATTCTTCAGAAGCACCCCTGGGTGGAGTTGAGCTGCCAACCTTTCCACACCAACCGTTTATGCCACCAGGGATTTCCTGGAGATTGTGAGAGGGGCACTGTTGCCATCAAATGACGAGAACCTCACTAGCCCTGACTTACTTTGTGGTGTAATAAGCCTCACTACATTTTAACCGATTAGTCCTATTCTTATCCATGATGATCCTCCAAATGTCTAAACCTCACTTAAACACTATTTTGACAAGAAATCCCTCCAGGTTTTTCCCCAGACAAATATCCAATCCCTTTTGTGATGTCTCTTATTCAGGCTAAGTCTGTCCTGCCTTTTCAGACTTATCTCCTGTGATTTGCTTTTACAATCTTTACCATCTCCTCTACTCCAAACTCCCTCTACCTTCCTTCTCTGTTAGTTGTGATCATCTGTTGTAATTAAAGAAAAAAAATCTCACTGCCCTAGAGTCCATGCTGATTCATATGCCCCCCAGCTGGTTTCTGAGACTGTGACTGCTTACAGGAGTACAGAGCCCAGTCTTTCCCGAGAGCTGCTGGGGGTTTGAATTGCTGCCTATCCAGATTGTAGCCCAACCCCTAACCACTGTATCGCCAGGGCTCCTAGCCATACAGAACTCACAGATCACTCCTACAGTTAGGTGGTATCTTGGGTTGACTCATATACCCCCGAAATATGTGTCAATGTGGCTGGCCATCATTCTCAATGGTTTACCAGTTATGTAATGATGCAGTTATGATATAAGCATCCCCATGATGTGATCTGATGTAATCAGCCAATCAATTGTAAGGGGACTATGGTGAAATGCCACACACTCATGTCACAACACCCTTACTTTGTTCCCTTGGGGTGTGCCATGTGTCCTTTTAGGTTGCAAAAGATAAAAGGACCGAGAAAGTTAGCAGAGGCAGGACCTCAGTACCACCAGGAAAGAAATGCCAGGCGTGGATCACATCCTTTTGACCCAGATTCCCTGTACTACGAACTTCCTCAACCTGGGAAAAGAGATGCCAAGACACCTGGACATCTCCAGGGGACACTAGGCCTACAGATGCTTAAAAAAGACAAGGACTGCCCTCCCCACCAAGCTAACAGACAGAGAAAGCCTTCCCCTCCATCTGTGTCCTGAATTTGGATTTCGAGCCTCCTAAACTGAGGATGGTGCAGGATGAGGCGGGCATTCCTTCTGTTGCCCATCGGGACCCTATGAGTCAGAACTGACTTGATGGCACCTACTAACAGTAGCAAACGGAAAGGATACATTTCTGTGAAAGCTATCTACTTGTGTTCCTATTGCAGCAGTGCTACATAAGTAAGACCAGTAGCTTTTGAAAGAATAATCTGGGTACAACTTGGGGTCAGGATCCATGGGTTACATACCCCTCTGAATCAGGACATGTGATCAGGAGGGACCGGTCTTGGAGAAGGACATGTGCTTAGTGAAGTGGAGGGGCAGTCAAAAAGCGGAACATTTTCCACCCGATGGATTGACACAGTGGCTGGAACAGTGAGTTTAAACACGGCGATGTTGTGAGGATGGTGCAGGATGGAGCAGTGTTTCCTACTGCTGTAAAACAGGTCACTCACTATGCACCAGCACTGACTCAGCAGCTCCTGAAAACTATAGATGTCCATGCAGAACAGTTCTCTCGGCTTCTCTCCTCAACCATGCAAGCAAGCTGACCCTTCCCTTCGCCGTGCACACCCCTTCCCAGCTATGCGCCTCCTCT